CGATATCAGAATTTGACTTTAATATTTTAGTATAGTTAGTTATAGAATCATTATGTTACGTAATATTTTAAATAAAAATTTTAATAATAAAATACAAGTACTTAAACAACTTTTTATTTTACGATGCTTAATCAAATAAAATTGTATTGATAGAATGGATAGACAGAAGACAGAAGAACATTGGACTGGGGATTCATATTCGTTCTCTGTAAGATTTTATTAATATAATGTTATATAGATTTCAATTAATCACCAATGCCTAATGTGTTTCTTTAAAAAGAATTTCAATAATATTCCATCGGAAATTTTTATTGAAATATGCAAGAATATCACTCCATTGGATCTAGCTAAACTAAGTTTGGTGTGCCAATCTTTTTGGCACTGCCTTTCTTCACGCACATCTAGCACAACTCAAATGATTTGGCGCTTTTCACGTGAGCAGTTTTTATGTCATCCCAAATTACCACCACCTGCAGATATGTGTGAACAAGATTATATTAGTCTTGTTCTCTATAATAAATGTCATTTCTGCAAGAATGGAAATTCGCTAATTGCCTGGGTCTTCCGTAAACGATTTTGTAAACTATGTTTGAAAGAAAGAACAATTTGGTAATGTTGCCATATCGATATTTCCTTCAATGTACGTATTGGATATTAACAAATAAATATTAATATATCAATAGTTATGATAATTTCGATGAAGCATGGAAAAAAATTCCATTAAAAGCAATTCGTGGACTTAGATATAATAAGATGTATAGCAAAATTCCTTATACTGAAAAGTATGAATTACATCGATACTACCTGATTGAAGACATCAAAACTCTTTATGATGAATTCATAGTCCTTGTCCTCCAAAATAAAGACAAAGATTTTATTGCATCATGGGAATTGGATAAACAAATGAAAGGCAACATTTATATGGAAGAAATCAGCAAATATTCAAAAGAGCAATCGTCGGTCCAATCAACTATTTTACGTAGTAATATGATCAAATTGGGAAATATCCTGGATTCTTTGATGGAAGAAAGATCAATTGATGACAATCGCCCAAAGTATGATCTGGATATTTTATATGATTGTCTTGATGCAAAAAACGCGTTTTCAACCACTGATCAATTGCTTTTGAATGAGAAAGAATTCAAAATTATGAGGGAATCTTTAATTGCAATGTATCCAGAAATCAAGAAAAAGCGTAATAAGAAAAGGCGTAGTAAGAAAGGTGCTAAAAAAATTCGTGCGAATCAGAATGTAATTAGTGATATTAGTGATATTAATGAGATTAGTGAGAATATTGAATAGTATAGTATGATGCTGAATTTGAGCTCTTTTGTATACTGGTATTTACAATAATGTTAGAATAAAATTTATGAAATTGCAATAAGCATGATTCTTTTACAAAATATGCATTTGATTATAGTTAAAATCATAATATATACCATCTAATTATACACAAAAAATTGTTTTTATATATTTGGGTGATGTAGAACAAGTTCTTATGTGAGTTCCTACTTTACTTAGTGACCAAATAAGTTAACGTACATAAATAAAAATGTTATTTTAAGAATATATATATTATTAATTTACTCATTTTTTCAAATTACTATGATTATTAGATTACCCGTCACAAAATTCCTTTGAATTCTTAAAAAAATTGTTACTAAAAATAATAATTTAAAAAGTAATTATTCCAGAGATTACTCGCTGTGTTTCGATTTCTAATATAACATCTATTAACGTATTAGATATTATATTTGCTGACCAAGATTTAATAAAAATTTTTATTTAAATGAAATGTCTTAACAGTCTTGTTTATTTTCAATTTTTAACAAAATTTACAGGCTGTGGTTTTGCGCGTAATAACGCACATGAGCGTTATTTTGAAATTTTCACGCCATTGTGTCTCAAAATAACGATAGTATATTACCTTGAACCTAATTGGATTGACATATGTAACTAGCATTATATTATATCGAATTTGTTACGTTCATATAAAAATGATTCGAAATATCACATATGTGCGTCCTGTAATAACGCACAGGTGCTCGAGAAAAAAATTTTAAAATTTCGGTCTCATACTAAAAAATTTTACTTCTATTACAAATTAAAGTTTTGCAACTAAATCACAAAAAAGGAATGTAATAAAGAAAATTTTTTCTTAATAATTTCAATCAAATTGTTGTCTGGAGCGAAGCGACAGACTCATACATCTACGCCCTTTGATAACCGAAATACGTTTTTGATACATTTATAATAAAAATATTAATATCATAGTGCCTTTATTCGCATAGTTGTGCAACAAAAATAGGTTACGCGTTTAACAGCCAATCATATCTATGGTGCAGGACATCTAATACATCAAAAGCGCTGAAATTTGAAATATATATGTGATTATATATGAGACGCTGAAATTAAATTTTAAAAGCGATTGAATAAAAAAAAATTTTTTATATATTAATCAATATACAGTATTAAAAAGTATTTTATATTATAAGGGAGATGCCTAATTTGACGCAGTTCCTAATTTGACGCACGATGATATCTCGAGAACTGTCGATCAGAATCGCATGACTTTGGTATCATCCAATTCGTCTCATCGAAAAGAATTGAATGGTAACAAAATCGCGCGATTCTGATTATTAGTTCTCGAGATACGCCATTTAACTAAATAACTCAAGACAGCTATATCTAATTTGACGCAGATAATGTTTACAGTAAAATATCACGGGATATATCAAAATCGAATAATTTTAGTACCATTCGATTAGTCTCATTGACGAATTGAATAACAACAAAATCATGCAATTTTGATCGATATATTCCGTGATATTTTATTGTAAACACTACCTGCGCCAAATTAGGCCCTATATCAAATTAGGAACATAATTTTTAGACAAACTTTAATGTGCAGTATCTCGTGATCTAATGATTAGAATTCAGTGATTTTGATACCATTCGATTCGTCTCGATGAGACGAATCGGATGGTACCAAGAGCATCTAATTCCAACCGATACATCACACGATATTTATCGTAAACATTAACTGCGTCAAAATAGGCATATCTCCCTTAAGCACTGAATTTTTAATCTTTATTAATAAAATAAAGTGTTAAAAATTTAAATTTACTATGAAATTAAAGAACTTTTAACTTTTTTTTTAAAAACACTTTATATTTATATTCTTTAGGTCTTAAACAATATAATTATAGAAAGATTTTTTTAAAAACTATTTTTAGTTAAAAAGTTATTAAACTTTTAAAGTAGTGACTGATACTATGTCTATGTAATATTTTTTTACTATACCCTTTACTAGTGTTTCTACAAACTGGACTCGAACCAAATTTTAATTAAGTTTGAGTTTGGTTTGATTTTCGAATCAAACTCAAACTATTTTTTAAACTAGGTTCAGTCCGGGTTTGATTTCAAACCTTTTTCTCCAGTTTGGTTTGGTTTGAAGTTTGGTCTGAAGTTTGCAAACATGTTTGAGTCTGAAAGATTTTTTATAGCCTGCATGAATTTGCAAGTGTAACTTCAGGCATGACTTCAAGTGCAACGTTACAAAAACTCATTACACTAGATTATTTAAATCAAACCTAAATAATTACTGAACTATAAATTTTGTTATCATTAACAAATTATATTGAATGCTACTTGAGAACAGCATATAGACTAATACATATATATATTAAAATCTATATATAAACTTCTATAGGCAATTCTGAATTCCGAGTCAATGATCATTAAAGCTAGGCTGGTATAAACAATACTAACCAAACAAGTTTATAACAAGATTATTAATTGGTTATTTTTATTTAATGAATTAACTATTATTTTAGTAATCTTGAGCAAAATTGATCAATCCTTACCCACCTGACAAGAAGTAATGCATTCCAACCTGTAATTGGTTATTTTTAAAAACCTAATGTTAGAATAAATTTCTTTCATTTATTAATTTGGTAGCTATTGCACATTCATAAATATATACAAGAATATTAGTAATAATGAAATTATTTCAAATATAAATTTAGAAATTAAATGGCTTTAATGAAAGCCTATAAGTAAAGTTCTTAAATATTAATCAATTTAACTTTAACCATGCAATTTAATTTTTAATAGTCTATTTATATTAAAAAAAGCAACCGGGAAAAAATTCTGTTAATAAATTTATCAACACATAATTGCTAACCAATACACTAATAATTCAGTTTGAATATATAATTATAACTAATTAAGCATATTTGTGTTGAATCAAATCACCTGCTATATATAGCATTGCTACTAAGTTTATTTAAAGGAATTCTTACTGTAATTTGCTAAAAATTCATAATACAAATATAGATAATAAATTTTAGCCTTAATTAAGCTATTTTCTACCAATTAAAAATTAAATTCTAATCTATTAATTTATGTGTTTGAAAGACAATTTGAATAAAAATTTAAATAAGAAACTAATTAATTTATTGGTTAATAATGCTCAATTAATTAAACAAGGAAAGTTTGGAAAATACTTAGTTGAAATATAATATGAAGATCTAACATTATATAACAAAGAGTTTTGTAAACCAATTTTAGCCTATTAAAGATTTTGAAACTGTTAAAGTTTGTATAGCTTCTTTAAATACTATATTGCTTTAAAATTTTATTATTTTTTTATATTTTTTTTTTTAAACTTCAATGATTTTGTCATTAACTTTATTATTATATTTAACTGAACAGTAGATATATATTATATATATTTAATTATCTAACTAAATAGTCATTATGACTTCATTCAGCTACTCTATATGGCGCCCAGATGCAACCGTCTGTACCATCTCACATATGAGATGGAATCTCTCGGGAACCTCTATCAAGAAGCATCCTAAATTCTGATTTAACTTAAAACCTTAATATTTTTACTAATTCATATATACCTGCTATATATACTACTGTACAATGTCTACTAGTTATAATCCACTCTCATCACTTATCACATTACTCCTAATTAGTTTCTTGTATAACTTCCAAATTGGTGTCCTAGAAGTGAGCACTTTGTTTCTAGTTTGGTGTCTTTCAAGATGTTACTTCAGATCCTAATCCATATCTCAAGCCAGGTGTTGCTGCTATTTAAAGACCCGTATTTCAAGCCACCTGCTACTGCCATTAGGAGAGCTGTTCGCATAGTTCCAGGTATTCACGTCATATACTACTTAATTAAACTACCACCCCTTTTATAGTACTCTCTCTTGGTATAATAATACAGAAGTCTAGATTCTTATAATAGGAGTTAAATACTTTATTTAATTACTACTACAAAGCAGTAATCTGGAATCTGCACTTCTGCTATATTTTGTTATAGACTCCTATATAGGTTGTGCAACTATTACTCACTAGCTAACTTTATATTTATACCACTAGGGTGCTTACTTTCATGCTTTTCAGAGTTTCTTTTAACCAGTTTTCTTTGTTTTTTTATTGTGCCAGAGGTGTTTCATTTTATTGAAAGCCATTCTCTTACTATAGCCCCTTACTATATTTACTACTTCTCTTACCACTTCTGGATATATTGCATATAGCCATCCTTCCAATTAAAATTTCAATGCTGCCTTAGGGTTGTTGGTGCTATCTTGCCAATCGCAGATTTACACGCACAGCTTTCTGCAGTATTACCTTCTGTGACTCATGTTACACACAGTGCTTAATATTTTCTATAGCTCGGGACTTCTTCCAAGAATTCTTTATCAGCCAAATATATACTTCACATAGTCTTACTGCTACAGAGTTCCATATTCAAAAGTCTCTGAAGGTTACAAAGATAATTAATTTAATTAATTACCACTAGCTATAATTGAACCATCAACCTTGTCTGTGGAGAGTTAGACGCCTAAACCACTAGGCTACAGGACTCTAACCCTTAAAATTTCATTATTACTGTAACTATATAATAATAGTTTATATACAATACTGTATTAGTATTATTTACTACAACTTGAGTTATAACTTAAACCATGACACAAGTTGTGTATTCAATAACTATAGCTTAATCTAAAAATATAACTTTAAAAAACTTATTCAGTAGCTAATGATTAGTATAAGCTTTAATTGGCTTCATTATATATCTAAAATAAGTTTAAAATAAGCTATTAATTGCTCTGAAGACTAACTGAAGACTTAGTATTTAGTTGGTACAATTCTGAATGATTATTAAACTCAAACTAGTTTGCAAACTTCAGACCAAACCTAAAACAAACTCATAATTGAGTTTGAGTTTGGTTGGGTTTAATATTACATCAGGAGAATTAAATAAGTGCAAATCTGCAAAA